GAGCAGATGGTCAACCTAGCAACCAGAACTTATCTAAGCCGTAAACTTTTGCACAGCGAAGTATATTCACTGCCATTGAAAAGGAGTGCATGGCGGTGGTGTGGGCCCTCAAAGCTGCAACCTACTTGTATGGACAACCGTTTACCTTACTCACAGATCACAACAAATTTGGGGCACTGCGCGTGCAATCTAATGTGCCACCAGATAGGAGTGGTGTGTTTAGTACTATTGTTATCAGTTTAATCACTGTTACGCCCCCTATCCGTTGATGTGGAGCAAGGCGCAGCAGCAGAAGAGGACTAAGCCGAGGAGGTTATGGAAGAGGATGGAGTAGGAGGAGTAGAGGAGGTGGCAGCGTACTGGCAGAGTACACGCTGTAGGGCTGACACACCTGCTTGAAGATAACTAACTACTATTCAATCTATAACAGTGAAAAAAGTGGGGGTTTTTTAAATCCAAGCTATTGTGACACCAGTGAGTGAGTGGTGTGTTTAGTACTATTGTTATCAGTTTAATCATATTCGCCCACTTTATCCGTTGATGTGGAGCAAGGCGCTAGCAACAGAAAGAAGGGACTAAGCCGAGGGAGGTTATGGAAGAGGATGGAGTAGGGAGGGTAGAGGTGGCAGCGTACTGGCAGAGTATTTCTGCGCTGTAGGGCTGACACACCCGCTTTGAGACAACTAACTGCTATTCAATCTATAACTGATGTTTGTTTCACAGGCAGAAAGTGCCCTAAAGATGGCGGCTTGAACCCAAGTTGGTGGCGGATCAGTCACGCAAGTCAACAGGCATTCAGAGCTAAAATACAGCAGCGTGTGGACCATTTTTAGCCCAAGGCAGCTCATCCCATCAGGCCTTTTTTAATCTAATGCTTATCACCCAGTGTCAGTCCCTTCGGGATCCATCCCTCCATTCATCTTAATAAAGGTGAGGTAATCTAGACTTTTTTGACCTAGGCGACTTCTCTTCTCAGTGACAATACCTCCTGCTGCACTGAAGGTCCTTTCTGACAGGACACTTGAAGCGGGGCAGGCCAGAAGTTCTATCGCAAATTGGGATAGCTCAGGCCACAGGTCAAGCCTGCACACCCAGTAGTCAAAGGGTTCATCGCTCCTCAGAGTGTCGATATCTGCAGTTAAGGCGAGGTAGTCTGCTACCTGTCGGTCGAGTCGCTCTCTGAGGGTGGATCCCGAAGGGCTGTGGCGATGCGTAGGACTTAAAAAGGTCTGCATGTCCTCCATCAACAACACGTCTCTAAGCGTCCTGTCCTTGCCGGCGTGGTCATGGGAGGAGGAGGATGACTTCCACCTCTCCCCCTGTTAGATTCCCGTTGTGCTGTGACATCACCCTTATACGCTGTGTAAAGCATTCTTTTCAATTTATTTTGCAAATGCTGCATCCTTTCATACTTGTTGTAATTCGCATGAAAGACCCCATTTGCACAAGGTTGGATGCCGAGCTACTCATTTCCCGTTCCTCCTCCTCATTGATGTCAATGAAGGTATTTTCTTCCCCCCAGCCACGTACAACACCACAGGTACCAGATAGGTGACAACGAGCACCCTGGGATGCCTGTTGTGGTTAGTCTTGCTCCTCCTCTTCCTCCTCCTCAAAGCCACATTCCTCCTCTGACTCCTCTTC